CATATCATAACATCAAAAAATTTTTTGAGAGTACTAAGTAGTTCTGATTAGAGTTCTCTGTAGTTCTCGACGAGTTTTGTCAAGAAGTATTAGGTGAAAAAGCGATTGGGCCAACGGTTTTCGAGATATGGGTACATTTGAACTCTCATTGAAAATTTTTTAAGTCCGACATCGAAAAATTTTTTGAGAGCACTGAGTAGTTCTGATTGGAGTTCTGTGTAATTTTCGACGAGTTCTGTCAAAAAATATTAGGTGACAAAGCGATTGGATAACTACATAAGGAAATATTTCTGCAATCGTACTTCTGCAATCGATTTTTCAAATTTCGTTTTAAGTATATATCTTTTTTATTATTGAGTCTGTGTTGGTTTTAATCGCTGAGAACTCATCGTAATTGTTAGAATGACAATTAATGTGTCACAGAATTATTTTATAAAAAAAATTTTTTTTCCAAAAAATTTTTTAAAAATTATTTAAAAATTGTTATTAATTTTATGAATTTTGCATTAAAAAATATAGAGAACTCTTCGTCTCGTTAAAAGGAAGCAGGAACTCTAATCAGAACTATTGTATCTAAAAATTGATTTTTCAAAAATTTTTAATTTTTGTTTGATTTTTCAAAATTTTTTTTTATGCATCAGGAACTCTAGGTATTCACGAAATGAAGCTATTGAGCCACTCAGAACTATTCGATCTCGATTTTCAATGAGAAGTTAGCATCCCATTTTTTAAAAATTATTTAAAAATAATTATTAAGCGGAACTCTTGTTATAAATTATATAGAACTCTTTGTTTCGTCAAAAGAAAACGGGAACTCTAATCAGAACTACTGAGTACTATAGTTGGGGTGCTAACTTCACATACCCGAAGATTTTTGTGTGCGGCGATTTTTATCGAACAAGAATTGGTTTGAAATTTTGTATTATGAACGAAATTTCATTCACAAACGCATTCAAAATGTTGCAATCATCGCCATAAGCTTTTTATAACATTTTGATGCGTTTATAAACGAAATTTCGTTCGTAACGCAAAATTTCAAACAAATTCTTGCTCGATAAAAATTGCCACGCACAAAAATCTTCACTGACATAACAACTGTCATTCTCAAACAGTTTGAAGAAACGCCATGATTTTTTTACTAAATGTGAAGAATATGTATATACCAACTTAGCAAAACAAACGGATTTGATTTACAATTTTCCCACAATTTTTAAAAGATAAAGTTCGGATATTTTTTAATCACAAGTATGCATAAACTTAAAAATATATAATATGATATAGCACGATGTATATCATTATTGATTAAAAATATAAAATAATCCACAAGAAAAAAAAGTTATCTTTGTAAATTCTCTATCAATTTCTGAAAACGGTCCGTCGATTAAAACGGTGAAAACATTGTTTTAAATATCAGAGAAAGGGAGGCCAACTTCGCGATTCCGAAATTTTGAAAGGCTATAATTCCTTTATCTTTTACTTTAGTGTCTTGATACATATAGAACAATCGATAGTATTTTTTGGGGGACTACCAGAATTCGCAAGAAAATACTGAATTTCCAAAAAGATTTATCAAAAATTTTTTTTTGGAAAAAATTTTTTTATTTTTCTGGTATTCTGTTGTGAATTCTGAAAGAATTCGATTATCCTTAATAATCAATCCGTTGAAATCAATAACTAAAATGTTCTGGAGCTTCGACTTTTGAATTTTTTAAGTTTACAAAGATTATAAATTTTTTTCAGAAATCCAGTATTTTGATACGAGTTCTGGTAATCTCCCGAAGAATTTTAACGATTAAATTTCCTTAAGGGGATCCTAAAACGAAGCTCGACGAACTCCGACGAAGTCATCAGAGGTCACTGTTTTTCCAGCATATCGACATGTCTTTATATACTATCACACCAATATCTCCACGCAATCTATGATACACGCAGTCGCACGTTTGTGGCAATTTTTGTATAACAAATTCGTCGCGATAAAGCATCTAAATCTAATTCTAAGAACTCGACGTTATTTGTTCGTACAAGCTACATGTTTGTGGATTAGGATCTGAGCACAAGAATTGTCGTAACACTTACTTAAACTTAAATTGTAGACGTAAATAAGCTTTCACGTATAATGTACAACTTATTGTCATGTCTCCAAGAGACGGCAATAAATCGTACGTCATACGCCAAAACTTGTGCGTTATTTACGCCTACAACTTAAGTCTCTAAATAAATATTACGACAATTCTTGTGCTCAGATCCTTACTATTTCGTATTAAGCATAGCTTTCGTATCAAGCAAATGTTGTAACGATTTGACAACTTGATGTCATGTATACTAAAAAATGATAAAAAATATATCAATTTCGAAATTTTTGTTCTCGGCATAAACTCCATTTCACAAACACGTATTAATATATTTCAATTCTGAAAAAGGATTTTTGAATCTGCAAAAGAAAAAAAGAATATTTGTTATAAAAAATTATATGATTTCGTCGGTAATACAGATAACTTTAGGATCCCCTTAATAACCATGAGACGCTAAAATCAATATCTAAATAGTTCTAGAACTTTGAAGTTTCAGATTTCGAATCTTTCAAGTCGCTAGAACTTTTTTGTTTGGGATCATAGCTCCGCTTACTAGTCGACACGATTTTGACATTAAAGTAAATAAAGTTGTTTTTGATGCGCCAATTACGAATCTGGTTCCGAAAATATTATATTATATCATGTCAAGTTTTTGAGATTCTAACCTAAAGATGCAAAAAATGAAGTTCTTGACCACTTTTAACGACTGAGAAAATGTCTAATAATTTCTTTTTCAGCATCCACGTGAATATCCCATTAAAGTGTTATTTTTACTCTTTAAAACATATTTGATTGCTATGATCCGCCTTTTTTTCGCTGAGATAGAGCAAATTAATTTTTTTTTGTTAGAAGATATATCTACAATCTTAAACAGATTTGAAAAAAAACATTCATTTAAAGATTATGCATTGAAAATTAGTTTATACAAATTTTTAGTGCGTAATCTTTAAATGAACATTCTCACGAAGAAAATAAAATTAAAAATTGATATACATGCATTAAGAATTTGTATAAACAAATTTTTAATGCATAATCTTAAATGAATTTTTTTTCCCTTACCCAACTTCAAGATATTTAGAAATCCTTGTACTTTCTTTGCACGTAGATATAGCCTCTCGTGTTGAAAAATCAAAAAAATTCAATTTGCTCTATCTCAGCAAAAAAAAGTTGGATCACAGCGATTGAATATGCTTTGAAAAAGGTAAGACTAACACTTTAATGGGATATCCGCGTGAATGCTGAAAAAGAAATTGTTAAACATTTTCTAAGTTGTTAAAAGTGTTCAAAAACCTCATTTTTTGTAGATCAAAAACTTCACATTTAGAGTAGAATGTCTCAAAAACTTGACGTGATACATTTTTGGGATCAGATTTGTAATCAGCGCGTCAAAATCTATCAGAAACAATTTCGTTTACTTAAAGGCCAAAAGAAATTTGAATTTTTGTCGACCAGTCTTATTAAGGATAATTGTTGGAACTCTTTGAGAGCTATCAGTAACAGGATTCTCTAAACATCTTATCGATGATTGCTATCATTAACTTATGACAGCCAATTGATACGGAGAATTTTTTTTAGAATTTATCTCGAAAATATGACAGTTGTGGAACAACATTGTATTTCGAAGAATTTTAATGTAAATCTCTCTCATTCATTAATAAAACTATTAAAATAAAGTATAAAATAAGTTAGATCAATTTTACTGAAGTGCATGGTAAAAATCTTTAAAATATTGTATTGTATCACAACCATATTTTTAGAGTAAATTTTAAAAGAAAATTTTTCCCATGTAGGACAATCCTGGAAGAAAATGAGGCACTCATTGACTGTCGCTAGTTAAAAATAGCGACAATTGTCGATAAAACGTTTACAGAATTTCGCAACAAATCGAATAAAAAATGTCAAAAATTAAAAAAAAATTTTTTTAAATCTTTTCAGAAATTCGGTATTTTTTGGAGAGTTTTGATAGCCCCCTCCTTTTATCGATTGTTCTATATGTATACAGAGATGCTAAAGTAAAAAAGTTATAGCACTTGAATGTTTCGGAATCGTGAAATTACTCTACACCCTCCTCCCTTCCCAACAGTAATTCAGCGCTTTAATCGATGGAATTGATTCTGAACTTGATAAAGAACACTTAGAACTCTTCTTTCCAAATTTTGAAAAAATAAAGCCAGCTTCAGAAAGGTAAAAAAGTTTCTGGAAGATGATCAACAAAAACATGAATCTAGATTATGAAGAGATACTATAATATTTTTATGTATTGAATAAAATAAGTACTTGGAAATGCCTCAAAAAAATACTTAGAAGACTGTAATAAATATTTTCATTAAGCCTATTCCATAGTGCTCTTTGTTTCATGTTTCTTGCTCTTTACCTCTTGCTTTGTTCCCTCTTTGCGACTCGTTTTATTGACAATAATATTTCTTGCCATGTATTTCTTGTTTCTTCCAAAGTTCGTTAACTTTTCCCTCGGATGATAAAAAATGAAAAGTGGGATAAGAGGTAAAGACAAGCTGTAAAAAATAGTGAAAAATAAAAAACAGGAAACAAAATGCCCATTGTAGAACAGGCTATAAGAATAAAAAAAATAATGTTTAATTCGATAAATGAAAACACCAGAAGCAAAAAGTGATGGAAATCTAGATTTCTAGAAATGACAAGTTAAGAATTGGTAGTGGATAAGCAAGGTCAACGAGATAACCCAATAAGTCTGTTCATGTTACTTGCACTTTGTGCATTCAGCATCTTCACTTTCTTTCGTTCGAACGTCCTAATATATATTTATCTCCTTTTAAGTGCAAAAATTTGGTGATATTTTGAACAACGCGGACAGACTTATTGATCATCCCAGATCATCATTAAATTCACATATACATAAGAAAGAGTAAGATAGAGTTCGATAATAAAATAAACGTGAGTACAATTTACCTTTCATTTAATCTTTACTTGATAGCAGCAGGCAAAGGCAAATGGGAAGTTCCTAAGGATGAAACGAGACGGGATAAAACAAGGTAAGACGAGACGAGGCGAGTCGAGACGGTACAGAACGGAACAAAAAGGAATAGAACGGAACGGAACACACAACACGACGAAACGGCACGAGAGAACACGAAAAATCGTTTGTGAAAAAACCAAGATGTGTCGATACGCGCACAAGATTGCTTTGGCGAGGCACAACGTTGCATGAGAATATTATATCACGAGAATGTCACAACAAAAAGACACTTGATGAACATGGCTGGTGACGGGCGACTCTTCCGCTCCGAGCGCACAGCATCCCCACTGCGGGACGTTCAACCGCAAAATGTTTCAGGATAACAGTTTTAGGCACAAATCACGGGAATATGCGGTATATGAATGCCGCTACGAAAAGGCACCGAACGTAGCTTTTTTTATAAAATGCGTATCAAATCAAAGAAATACGTTACTAACAAATGGCAGCCATATTGGTACATACAAGCATCATACACAGGCCACTAACATAACGTGATATAGACTACGTTTACACGGATCGATTTACGCCGAAATTATAAAGCCCGTTCTACATTAGGGTGCGATTGCATGTAGCGCGGTATGAGGAAACTAACTAGTAGGGCTACGTTCCAAAACTTCGGGTGCTTTCCATTTATGACGATAGCGATCACCTCGTCCTTGTTTAACATTGGCGAACAACAAAGATGTAACAATTTGCCGTATCTCTTGTTGGATAATAATTTTATACGTAGATACAATTTTTTTACATTAAAATGATCCACATGACTTGTGCACGTACTTCTTATTTCGTACCCTACGTGTAAAATGAAAATAGTTCTAAAGCGCCAACCGAAAATTGGCAACCATAACCAGAGGGTTCGACTATGCTTTTTTACTGTGTTTAATCATGCCGTGGTGTGTCGTTGTTGGAAAGCACCCTAAGAGGGTCTGACACTGTGTCGACTGTGTGTCGCTAAAAGCTTTGATGGAAAATATCCTTTCTTTCCAAAGAAAATTTTACTCGAAATATATAGTACACGTTACGTATACTATAGACTAAAATCTTTCTCGGAGAGGAAGTTTTGATTTTGAACGTAGCCCTAGTTTCTGTATCGCGTATACATGTAACCGCACCCTTAGGCCGGGTTCACATCACATTGATGGAAAAGTGGAAAGCGGAAAAGCGGAAGCTTCCAATCGGAATTCGTAGCAGTAGTAAGCGGTACATTTTGCTTGTCTGCTTTTGTCTTTCCACGAGTTCTGATTGGCTTCCGTTTTTCCGCTTTCCTCTTTTTCATCAAGTTGTGAACTCGGCCTAAGGGTGCGATTTCATGTAGCGGCCTTAGGTTGTGGTCAAAATCTCGCTACAAATGATTTGAAGTGTTTGATGGACCAATTAGAAAAAAGAATTTTACAAACTGATCAATTAAAAATTGCTTCAAAGCTTTTGCAAGATCGCGTTGACCGTACTTTTAGGCTGCGATCAAAGTCTCACTAAAATACTTTGAAGCGTTTGATCGACCAATTAGAAAAAAAAACGTTACAAATTGACTAATCAAAAATTGCTTTAAAACATTTGTAGCATCGCGTTAATCCTTAAACGCAAGCTGATCGCAAGTTTAGCTGCGTTCGGCAATGCAAATCTGAGCCGTCGAAGCTCTTTTTCTACAGTGCACACAACATAATATTATATAAGAGCACTCTGATGCCTCAAATTTGCATTGCCGAACGCAGTTTTTGTTGCGATAGCCAATATGAAATGTTGATTTGAGAATTGAAACTTGAGATTGGCTGTCGCAACAAATTTGCAATCGGCTTGCAACTAATGTAGAACCACAACTTAAAACCCGTCTACATAAGACTGAATTTTCACTTGACGCAACGACGCTCATTTTTATAAAAACAGATCACGTGATCAAAATTGACGCTTGATATTTGTCAATTTTGATCATGTGACCTGTTTGAAAATGAGCGTCGTAGCGTTAAGTAGAAACCCAGCTTAACTCGCAAACGCAGAACGCAGTTCGCAGACGCATTTGCGACAACCAATTAGAAACGTCAATGGCTAACAACAGCTTTTCATTGGCTGTCGTAAATGCGTCTGCAAACAGCATTCTATGTTTGCGACTTATAGTAGAATGAGAATGCTTAACATTGGCCTAGTTCCCATCGAGGGTTTAAACCAGATTAGAATGTAAAAATCAACCAACTACAGTCAGGCATTCCCTTGTCGTTCGACTGTAACAAGGGAATACTCGACTGTAGTTGATTGATTCTTTCTCGGTGGAAACTAGATCACTGTCAGAAACATCAGTGTAATATTTTTTGAATTCGTTAAGTTTGGTTGGTCCTAATATAAAGGCGCAATTTTACGCAATGTGAAAACGCTAGCTATAGTAGAGCGACTACTCCCACTTTGTGGTGTTTCCTCTTTAAGGTCATTCTACATTGGTTGTATCATCAATTAATAAACGTCGCAAGCTTGTTGCATCAGTCAATCCAATGCTTCAATTTTAAAGTCGTATGATGCTTACGATGCTTTCGATGCTACGATATGACCTTAATGTAGAATGGCTTTAAAGAAGCCGTCGACAAAAGCCGCTAAAGTTCTAGGGCGATATTTCATAACTGCCTTTATACGCCTACCGACAATTGTCGATGTTGTTGCGCAGATATTTTATATTAATGATAAAGCTGCTCAATGACAAATGTTGGTAGGTGATAATGGCTCCGGCACACCAGCGCGATGTTCGTCGCGCGCGACACGAGTATATTTTTAGAATGAAAACATTGTAAAGTTGTATCAATCATTGGCTATCGCGTATCGCACGCGACGAACATCACACTGGTATGCCGGAAACATAAAACAGTTTGGAGATCCGCACAATAAAAGGAACAGGAAACAGAAAACAGAGAATAAGAATTTCAATCTATTAGAAACTATGTATTCCACAATACATAATTTCTGATAGGTTGAAATTCTTATTCTCTGTTCCCTGTTCCTTTTATATTAATTGTTCCTTTTAAATAAATTGTAAATTTAATAAAAAATATGGATTTGATCGACATGGCAGTGGAATGTTGTTAATTCGGAGGCTAGCATGCATATGCAGACGCACCGTTAAATAGAAAAATAAGAAAAAACACCGTTAGACTATACATATATCCAATAAATAAAAAAATGAAAAAAAAGGACACTTTTATTGTATAAAGCCTGCAGTATACGATTGTTTTCACATCGATCGTTTTACTTTCGATAACTTTTAATTTAAATCTGTCGCACCGATAATTATTTCGATAGCTTTTTGTTCGGAAATAAATTGTGTCAAAATCATTTTCTCCTCCTTCGTATAATAAGCATTATGACGAATTCGACTGGAAGCATCGATGCATATTAAAGCCGTTGTACATTAATTCAATTTTAGTAAAATAAAATGCAAATATCTCGAATTATAAAATACATATTTTACCTAATAGTGCAATAAAATTGAGTATACGATTTAATCGAATTTTATGTTTATTTATAAACATTTACGTTATTTTATGTGTGTATGGCAGTTTTAATGTGCATCAGTGCGCACTTAGTGCGTCCAATCAAATTTGCTATTAGTTTTATTTTTATTCATTATTGTATGTTTAATTATGATTTTATTTAATCAACAATGCCTTTATAATCTTTATTATTCGTAATTCATGATATTAGGTTTGCATATATTATATATTATAACATACTGTCTTCAATTAGATTACTAAAATCTCTAAAATATTCCTTCCTTCGGGAAAGCAGACTTGAGATCAATTTATGAAACAAGAAGGCTTTGAAGACTCGAGGAATCTTTCATGGAGGCATCCCTCAAAATAGAGAAGGACTATGAATACGGGTATTAGGCCGGTATTCATAATCGATTTTTATATTTAAGGCTGCTTAAGTACATAAGTTGCCTTAAGCTGTCATAAGCCAATGTCAGAGGCCAGTATTCATAATCTATTCTTATTTCAAGACCGTCTTAAGTAATGTCTTAAGACGCTAACGTGGCCCATTGATTGGTCCGTGACATCTTAAGATTGAACTTAAGACGATCTTCAATATAAGAACTGACTATGAATACCGACCAGAGAACCGCATTAGCGTCTTAAGACATTACTTAAAATGGTTTTGAAATAACCGACTATAAATACTTTCTAGTGTCCTTAGAATACAGAATCTTGCGATCTCATAAACCGTTTTTTATTAGATCAGAAGTCAAAATTCCTAAAAATGGTGGAACCAATCACCACACAAGTCTTTCACAATTTTTGGGGAGTTAACACATTGTATTATCAAATCACAATGGCCGCTCTGATTGTCTCATCGACAGCACATGTCTCGCCTTGCGCTGAATAGTTTTTTATCGCGCTGCCCGCCGAACCGTTGAGATCCTTTCCGCATCTACTGTGAAACACGTTCGCCCGCATTTGAGGTCTGTTTAAATAAAGTTTGGAAAGCAGGGAAAATCTCATTTTTCTCGACCAAGTGCCCTCGAAGCAATTACCGCGGGAACGCTTGGAATGGTGATCGCATGGCCGTGCCACCATAAATTCATCCTGTACGCAGCAAGATCGCCAACATTTCTTTGTATTATCTGGCTTCAACTGTATGGCATTGTGCATCCTGTAAATACAGAGAATTATTGACATAGTACTTTTATACTTATAAATATTATTTATACTACTATTCTATTTTCTATATTTATAACACATTAATTTTTTGTTAGAACGTAAATACATTTTATTTGCATTTTTTTTCACCGTATAATTTTGTATTGATTATAATATTATAGTATTTGTGTTTACTTACTTATGCTCTTTATAATCTCTGTGACGGACTTACTCTCTCTCGTTTTTATTGTACTAGTGCAAATATAAAGCAGAAACGCGCAGATGTGTCCACCATTTTTAGAGGCCGATTGCCGGACTTTGTATTCTAGGGACACTAGAGAGAGAATCAAAGGAAAGTGCAGCGGAAAACCACCGTTTGTTGGAGTGAGTGGGAGATATGGTAGAAGCGTGATGAAACATACAGTTGTAAGAAATTTACTAGAAATAGATACAACAGAGATACCAACAGGACTGTGTGACTCAGTGGCAGAATGAAAGTCTACCAACTCGGAAGAGAAATCAAGGAGGAGGGATCAAGACAAAGGAATTCCATATCTTGAAACGAGGTAAAAATTACACAAGTGAGTGAATATACTAGAATACTGATAATTTCATTGGTCAATACCTAGTAAATTTGCTCGCTTTTGTAATTTTCATCTTGTTTGAAGAATACAGAATCGACTCCTTTGTTTAAAAATACAGAATCGACCTTAAGGAGAGTCCTGATATTTTTTTTTGTTGTCATCAATTGTTTACACGGTGCTGCACATACTATTATTGTGCCGCACTACCCTAATAGCACAAGTATGTCGACTGTAAGGATGCGATTACATGGAGCGCGATTTGCGGCACGGGCTAGTAACAAACTCACATTACTATACACTGCTATGCACTTTTTAATGAAATTAATTGGTTTAAACGCAATTATTAAATAAATCTGTTAAAAAAATAAGAGTATCGATAAAGTGTGCATAAAAATAAGTTAATATATTTAAAAAGATTCATACTAATATGAGTTTGTCACTAGCCCGCGCAAACCGTGCGCAAACCGCGCTTCATGTAATATCAATGAAAGAAATAGGCGATATATTGAGTACGCAATATGGTCGGCTAAACTGAACATAACCAAAAATTATGGACTCTACTTCTGACTTCCAAAGGAGAAGGATCTCTTAATATTTACTATCGGCAATCTAAATTATTAATTTTCGGAATCATATTTTGTCTAATCGCGTAAATTTTCTGATAAGTCGACTCTATTCCTCCTACAACGCATTTTTCATTACGAAGGCCAGCCATTTCTACTTTGGGAACAAAATTAAAGTTCATCGTAATTACATAAAGTGGTTCACTCTAAAGAACATATAAAAATTGAGATCATTTATTGATTGATTTGATTAACAAACATAACGGTGTGGTTATGTCTAGTGTCCAGTACGATCATACCATGATACCACATACCGCGTACCGCCTATTTTCTTAGTTGCTTACAGTTGCCTGATTAGTTAAGCTGGAAACAGGGAGTAAAAAGATTTCGACCTATCAGAAAGCGTTCATTCTATTATTCATGGTTTCTGATAAATTGATTTCCTATTCCCTGATCCTATTGCCTGTGCTTTTTATTGTGTTTCCAACTTTACTGTACCGCGTACCGCATACTGCATTCCATGTAATCGCACCCTAAGTCGACTTTGTACAGATATATTTGTATTATGTCCTTCCAATATCGATTTTAGGACGTCTAGTGCAATTAACGCTCGTAAAGCTTAAATGTGAAATCATTTCATCCTTGTTGTTTAACTATAATTAAACAAGGATAAATGCTGTTCATGAGCGTTATGGACATGAATCGTACCACAGCCTAGAATGGTTGACTTAAAGTCGGCTTAAAAATGGGACATTGTATGACTTAAAGACGTCTCCAAGTCGTCTAAAGTCGACTTACGTCCATTTTTCAGATGCTAGAAGCTATAAACGACTGAGTCGACTTTGTGTGTAGAGTAATGTTGTGTATGTATTATATATATGTATTATATTTGTGTATATATATATATATATATACGTGCACATTTGCGTATTTGCGAAAGTGAGCGAAAAAATGGCGGAACCAATCAGAGAGGAGAACGCTATCCGCTCTACTCTCCCTTGATTCTCTCTGGATTACAGCCTATTATAAACCGGCCCTTAGAAATAAGGAATAATTTTCTTTCGATTTCAACCTATCAGAAACTGTGTGTTCCGGTGTATCCGATTTCTGAAATCGTTGTTCCTTATTCCTTTTATTGTGTTTGCATCCTTACGAGAAGGTCGCCGTGTCGTCTCTTAGGTTTCTCTCTACGGCCACTATAAATGATCATTTATCATTCAAGAAATCGCGTTATTCTAGCTTTACATACATAGCTAGAGGATGTCATGTAGCGCGCTTGATTATATAGAATTGTGTATGTGTGTGTGTGTGTGTGTGCGTGTGGTACGTGTGCGCGCGCGCGCGCGCGTGCATGCGTGCGACCGTGCGTGCATGCAGGCGTGCGCGCGTGCGTACGTGCGTGCATATGTGATATTGATGAATGAATCCTGTTGCGCAGTCCGGCGACTTTATCTCACAGTAGTCAATAAGTATCCCATGAACATTATATCGTCGGTTCTGTTCGAACGAGCTTATTTTGCATAAAGTATTCGCGATTCGCGGATTCGCTGTCACAGTTTCAGTCGCATTCGCGAAGCATCAGCATGTGATCAGTCAGATTCAATCGTATCGTATAATAGTGATCGGAGTTTAGCTGTGAACACATTTCTCGCGTGGTGAGATCCACTGAAACGTTTCGTGGAGTAATAGTGTCTTTGGAAAGTCGCAGTTTTTTTTTTCAAGCAAAGAAGATCTAATACGATCGATGATACGAGATATTGAGGCAAAACCTCAACTGAAATGGTTAGGGTTTAAGGGAGCAGGCGTGGTAGACTGGTAGAGTTGGGTAGAGTCGTAGAGTGTACCTAATTTTGATAAAATGTGGCATTGAAAACAAGTGAGTGTGTGGGGATGAATTGCACGGGGAGTGCAAAGTAAAAGGTGGATGAGGCGGTGGAGTGGGCGGAAGGAAGGGAGGAAGCTGGGGCGCTGTGTCGGTGTGTTGATACTCGTCTAAAAAAGCAGACAGAATCGCGCGATCGAATGTCTTTTCGATGTGATGAAAATGGTGAAGTGTGGGAGAGAGTGGGCTTTGAGTGAAGGCTTCGATACTTCGAATCATGACAGAGACGTCGGACGAGTGAGTATCCTACGAAGAGCAATTTTTATCCATCATACTAAAACATGTTCTTTTCGAAGACCATTCCATTCTATGTGAAATACAAGCGTTTCTGTATGTCATTATCAGTTCTTTATCCTTGTATACCCCCCCCCCCCTCCTCCGATATCGAATATTCGCTATTTTATTCTAAGACACACTTTTACCTCATTAATGTAATTTTTATCATCCTCCCTCCCTCATTTTCAATCATCTCTTCTTTTCCTCCCTGTTTCTTTTTTATTTCATACTTTTCTCGTAATTTTGGTTTGTAGATTATAGAAGAATAAATTAATGTCAACAAATTTCTCAACGAATCTTTTTTCTTTCTCTAGACATCTCCAGATTAAGTTTATCGTATTATGTTCTTTCTCATTTCTTGCTCTTATTTCGTCTTTTGTTAATTCTCTCTCCTTTTTTATCTCCCTAGTTACGCATATCTCGCATATTCGTCCATCTCTCTCTCTCCCCCTCCCTCCCTCCTTTTCCATCTCTCCCTCCCTCTTCCCCCCTTCCTTCCCCAACCCTCTAACAGTTTACTACTCAATATTCGTGTATGAACGACCGTTCATTCATTGAATCGATGTCAGTGTGTGTGTAACATCTGGCTAAATGATTTGCGCGATATATTTTCAAAACTTGTGGAAATTTCAAAGTCATGTTATTTTCAACAAAACTATTTCGTTCATGCAAATTATATATTTTTTTTAGAAATTTATAAAATCGTTGAGTCAATATTATATAAGAATATCCTTAAACATGTATGTTTTTTTCATTTATAATAATACTGAGATAAAATAATAGATGCACGAGTTAAGAAATACTTAATTTTAATCATTTTTTGTCGACTAAATACTGTAACTATAATTACCATATTAATTTGTATTTTTAATAAGTCATATAGAATATCTTTACGATCAGATTTTTTTTAGATTAAAACTAATAGATTATAGTTAATCTTTAGATAATTTTTTGTTCATCAAAAAAACGTTGAAAATTGTAATTATATATCTTTTAATTTTTTAATTGTATCTTTATGATTAAGTCTTATATTAAAATTTTGTGACGACTTATATATAAATAAATTTGTGTAAAATAAATTTCTTCTTTGTTCTCAAGGAAACTAATTTTGAAAAATTGATTATTAGCAAAATAATGTCTTTTTATACTTTGTATGTATACATGATATTTAATCATTTATGACAGAGCTGGGATTTTGGAAGGTATTCATAGTGTCAGATCTTATATTCAAGATCGTCTTAAGTGCAGTCTTAAGAAGTCACGAACCAATCACCATATTAGCGTTTTAAGACATTATCCAATAGTTGCACATTTTGGCCGATTTTCAATTTGGTTTCTACCCCTTACTTCACTGATTTATGACACTAGTTTACAACAAATTATTTCATATGTTTTTATGGAAATTTACAGAAATTCTATTGTATCATATCTATTTGTGTCCGTTATCAATTATTATCAATTATACTTTAATAGATGTACGAATATGAACGATATATAATGTCAAGCAACTATGTATTATATTTGTTCTTTGCAGTGGTAACTATCTGGTAAGGGTCCATGCCCAGGTAATGACAAGAGATGATAGTTCTGGTGGTTGGGTTCCTTTGAGTGGAGGTGGATTGGCAAATGTTTCAGTCAGACGTAGAGTCATTCCTTCAGGAGTACATCAAATAAACAATACCAATGGAATCACTATTCCTACTACGACCAATCCTACACATTCTGTCTCCAATACAGCAGTTGGTCTTCAAAACCATGGCTCTTCTAATATGTCACCACCTGGCACGAATAAAAAAAAACATGAATATCTTATTTATGGAAAACGCATCACCGACCAATCGGTAGGTCTCGTAATTTTATTATTATCTTATTATTTCAATATTTACTTCAGGAGGATATAATAAACACTATAGCAGTTACATTTAATATAATTTGAAATCATAATATATATTGCAAAAAATATAACATTAATACATCAATATTATATTTATTATAAATAA